AAAGTACTGCCGCAGTGTACAAGTGCAATTCTGACAGACTTGGACTCGGTCCCTATACGTGGCACTCATCGGACGGTGCCAGCCCCAGCCAGCGGAAAGTTCGGGACCCCGAAATGTACCTAGTTAAAGTGCGCTTTTTGACAACGGGATGGTCAATGTAGTGGCCGGGGTTAGCCACACCCCCGGGGTTAGCAGAGCTACCCCAATCCCCGCCATTTTTGCGTTCATGGCACTCGGGCAGGACGAGTTAGACGTTTCTCTGGGCCTGCTTGAGCCGGAGACGAGAGCGTTCCTCATGCGGCAGCTTCAGAACCTGCCGGCACACAGAGGGGACCGGAAGCGGGATAGAGTGCGCGCGCCCACCGTACGGGTTAGCGCAAAGGCACTGTGGGTCAACGGCAAGCCCCTAGAGGGTAGCGCGATCCTAAACACCGGGGCCATGCCACTTCTGATTGGCCGGCCGGGGCTCGTTCAACTGGGGCTGCGGGAAGAAGACGTAAGTCCTGACGCACTGAGACTGGGGCTGGCGGATGGGAAGTCAACCAAGCTGTTTGGGGTGATCCGGAAGCCGATCAAGTTCACCTTTAACCCCGGGAAGAGGACAGCGCTGAGTTATCTCAGTGTTCGCGCAGTGGTAACCCAGGCGCCCTACGACTTCCTCGTGGGGAACATCATCCTGTGGGACGCCGGGACGATCATCGGGGGCGTCATCGACAGTTGGAGGGAGCAGTTCCGGTACCAAGTCAACTGGCGACACGATGGGCCGGGAGTGAGCGCACCGGAGGGGTTCATACCCCTGATACACGAGAGCCCGGAGAAGGGCACGGCGCCCCTCCCTTGGGCGCTTTACTCAACCCTCCACCGCAGGGGGGGAGAGGTAGACAGTGCGGTGGCTATTGAGTCGGATGATGACGATATGCCCCCGCTTGTGGAGGCTTCTGACGACGAAAGCGACACCACAATCATTGTTCCACCTCTTTCCTCCCTGACACCGGAGGAGGCGGCGAGTTCAGCGCTGGGAAGAAGAACATGCGATGCACGGCGACTTGGAGAGACCAGGGCCAACCCTCTTGGAGCGGCTTTTCCTACATAGCATTTCATCCCAGTCGACGTGCGACAGTACAAACCTGCGCTTAAGGCTCAGCAGGTACCGGCCGCTGTGGTCGGTACCGCTGTACGGCACCTGACGCCGGTCAGTACCTTGACCAATGGTAGACAACATCCAGATATGGCGTATCTGGATGTTGTCTACCATTGGCCCGATCGGGCCCAGTCTGACAGCTTGAGTAAGTTCAATTCTGCGGGCTGGGCGTGCACAGTGTGCAACCGGGCACTCTACCGTCGGCGGTAGAAAGTACAGTCTGTTCTCAAATTTTTGGCCGCGCGTACACTCCGCGACGGTGAATTGAGTCATCGGCCGTAAAATTTTAAAATTTCCGGAGTCTACGGCGATCGACGGTGCGGGTACTACTCAGTAGTGTACATACTGGGAGTCAACCGTCGCGGCGCGCGTACGGTCTTTGACTTTAGTCATGAATTGTTGTAACAAGTGGCAACTTCTGCTGTATTCTCTAGAGAACACCCCCCTCCGGTCATTGCCCA